TTAATAACATTAATAATGGTATTAGCAACATTGGTGGGTGTGGTGTCATCTTCTATAATAATTATAAAATAAATAAAGAAAAATAAAAATAAATCTATATATTTTGTTTTTTATTATATTTTTTAAAAAAACAATAAAATTACCCAAACTTTATCATATTCTAAATAAAAAGGTGTTGATAATAGTGATGGTGAAGTAGAAGGAGGAGGAGGAGAAACGTCATCTAAAAATATATAATAAAAAATAATAATAAAGATCAATTAATTAATAAATTCATATTTTTTTTCAAGAAAGTTGGTTATATAATTCATACTATTTTTTTTTCTTTTTTTGAGGCAGAAAATTGGTTATTATTATTATCATCATCATCATATTTTTTTTTATTTTTTTTATGATTATTATAATCGTGACGATATTATAAGTATTTTTTAATACTTTCTTTCTATTCTAACTTGAATTGTCAGATTTCTTTTTTTTGAATTATTGTAATATAATAATTAATATGATCCTAATGGTTATACCACGATTGCCCAAATGCTAATTTTCTGAATATATCTTTTCCCAAAGTCAAGTTTCCTGAATGCCAATTTTCAGAACTGGATATTTTACCGAAACATCCAATTTTCTGAATGCCAATTTTCCAAAACCCAATTTCCTGAATTGTAATGAAACATCCATTTACCTAAGCATCTAATTTCCTGAATTCTGACATTCCGAACATTCAATTTCCCAAATTTTGATATCTAAAATACCCTATATAGGAGCTGAACTATTAAAAATGGATTACGGGAACTTTTTACAAAAAATGAGATTTTTGATTCATATTATAGTATATTATATGAACTTTATTGGTTAAATTTTTAGAGGCTATTAGCTTATTAATAAGACAAGTAATTTGGCTGGCAAAAATGCTTAAATTTCTGTGTAATATCAATCAAATAATTAAAATTAGATTTTATAGAAATGATCGACGTAAATTTTAGCAATGATCGACAAATGATCGACATATATAAAAATGCTTTGAAGTATAATTTTAATAGTAAAATTTTAGATATTTTGCATTATTTTTAAAATAATTTAATATTTATATTATAATAAATATTATATATATAAAATTATTGTATTGCCTTATCAATTGATTCGACTCAATTTATATTTTTATGCAATTTTTTATTGGTCAAGTATGTTTATTGTGGCGTAACATTTTTTTGATCATCAATTACTCAAAATTAATTTATAGTCTCAGAACCCACTTTTAATAGATCAGCTCCCATATTTCCGAATCTATATGTCCTGAATGTCCATATTCCCGAATTCCCTTATCCCGAATAGATATATACTTTGAAGACTTTAGGTATTGGCAGTCTCACAAATAATAGTTGGCCATGGTTTGTCATACAAATACATATGATTAGATCAATATTATTTTTATTCACTAAAGTTTAAGTGTAGAAATAGCCCATGTTCACTTAGATATTAAGTAGGATTAGGCAGACCTTTCAGTATAAACAAAACATCTGACTGTTTTTTATTAATGCTTATTAAAATTTATAAGCGAATTCTCCATATGCTGCCTACCTCATGATGCCGCATTGGTGGCATTTTTTCTAACTCATTTTAAATTACATATTCTATAAGAATCAGAATAAATAGACCAAATTTTGTAATGGAAAACAGAAAATTAAGCAATATTGAGTCTTTACTCTGTTAATAGTTTTGTAATTTCCATTGATCCACCATTTTTTATCTTTTTCGTTAGAATAGTAGAATCTGCCAAACATATATCCAACAAGGAACTTCGACGAGAATTTAGAGAAAGAAGAAGTAGTTTCGTATTCTGTAGCGAATATCTTTAAAGTTTATGAAAAGGTTTTGATAGATACGACATAATATAAGCTTAAACAAAGTTATAAACACGATATATTTTTATAATGTGATTTTATTTTCTTTATGACAATAGCAAACTTTTATTAATATAAATATGCGACGCGTAAAATTAATCATTATAACAATGACGAAATTCATAGATCCTTATCCTTTACTATTATCAATAAAATTTTTTTTTTTATATTTTTATTTTTTAACTTCGTCGATATAATAAAAGAAGGTAATCTGAAAAGGTTCTTCTTTAAAGTGTACCTGAAACTTGCGTTTGGAAAATATTGAAATGAAATGATCATTGTGGCATTAACAATAAAGTGAAGGAAAGCTGGGAAAGGTATATCCATATCATGAATTTCCGATATCACATGGTTTAGAAAAATTTTGACATTGAAAATATTTTACCTTTATATTTATTTAATAATGCAATACCTTACATTTCAAGCCAACAATATATTAAGTTCCAATTGAAGTAAATCATCTAAACGAATCTTATTTTAGGATTAACCTTTGAAATTAAACTTTGAAATTTAGCTGCGCTATTTGCGATCATACCAAAACATCGCAATATAATAATAATGCTTAACAATGCATTTAATGATAAAGAATTCCTGATTAACTATCGTATGCTAATAAGCACAAAGTGTTTTTCATTCCAACTTTGACATTTTCCAAATAGAGTTTCAGGTTCTTTATAATTTAAAATCCATTTTATGGTATTATGGCCAATTTCTGATTCATAAAATAATTTATAATAAAAGATAATCTTTACTTTATTAATTAAAAATAAAATGAAAATTTAAATCACTAATAATTTACAAATGTATAAAAATAATAATATGTATATTTTTATTTACTAGCTTAAAATATATTAATGTTGCTTATTTTGATATAAAAAACTTAATTAGTAGTTTATTTTTGATATCAATAAAAATATCAAAAAAAAAGATCGTCTACATCATCATATGGTGAGCAAGATAATTATGGTTATAAATCATATATCGGTTTATAATATTTTGATTTAAAAAAATAAATAATAAATAAATAAACCGAACTAAATATTTATTTTTTATGATTAATAATTTATGCCATGCCTTAATCATTATTCTAAGTTGTAAATTTTATTAGAACATTCTCTTATTCCCTAGCCTTCGATCGGATTTAATTTTCTGACAATTTGCATAATTAGAATTAAACTAATTCTTCGATCTGGGTATTATCGCACCAACAATTAATTTAAATTTTGCATTTGCCCTGATGATGTCCTATTTACCATTGTCAAAAAACAGACAAAAATTCTAGGATCAATATTTATCCAAATTCCATCAACAACAGCATCGTTACATTAATAATCGTGAATATATCAAATAATTTCTTCTTTACAAGTTAATCCTGGGAGATATTGGGTACAAGGTAAAAAATGGTTATTTTTAAATAAAATTTCTTTGTATTAACTCTCATTAAAGTCGGTCAGCATTACATAACCTAATGACTTATTAGTTAAGAAAAACTCAAGATAATTCTAACTAAAATTATGGGATCAGTTAAGTTAAAGTCAAGAACAATTATAGTACATATTATCAAATCTACGGATAAATCATACATTAAGGCATACGTTCTTTCTTTACAACTGAAAATCATGAGAGTATTACTACGAGAAAGAATTTAAAATGTATATACGCGTTATTTCAAACAATACAATATATAAAACTAATGTAGCAGAATGAATGAACCTATAAAATATCTCAATTAACAATAAAATACGGCAATGTACAAAATATTCTACATTATCATTATGAATAAACATAATTCGCACTCTTAGAGAAAATTGCGAAAAATGAATAACAATAACGCATCCAATCATAATTTTAGAATAAATCCGAGAACATTTTATATCACATCATTACAAGAATAAAATTACAAAGATAGATAATTTTAAATAATAATTGATATTAATAATTGCTTTATAATCTCAGTAGATAAAAAATAAGGTGTATTTTCCTACAATTAATTAAAAAATTAGTAAAATATATATATATATAAAAATTAAATATTAAATTTAAAATATTAAAATGAAATTGTCATTTTCAAGCATGTAGGAAACGTCTTTCAAGAAATTCATTTTTAACGTCACTATTCCACAAACCTTAAAGTAAATCCAAGAAATAGGTACAGAATCAGAGATCAGAGTGATAAGTTACATTTTTATTAATAGGATCTTTAATTAACTCGACATTAATATAACTTTATTTAAAGATACGATTATACAGTAAGTACTATATGATGTATATGATGTATTTATCCATATTCACAAAATTTTTTAAAGGATTATAATAAATTACGTTGTCAAAAAATGCATATTTTATGGAAAATAATGAAGTATTTCAAAGTTTTGAACGCAAAGATGTCAAATATTTAATAAATAAATGAGATATATCAAAGTGAGAAAACATTTCAAGCTTTACAATTCCGAAAAATTAAAATCAAGCCATTCAAATCTTTTTGTGGGTATACAAAGATGGACATTTATATCTTTTATCCTATGGGACATTTGCATTATCATTGAATGAAATAAAATGAAAAAAAGATGCATAAGAATCAAAGACCACACTTAAAACCTTTCTTTAGTAATACGCACAATGAATGGTTTCAATATACAAATTCGTGTTAAAATTTAGGTTGAACAACCAATTTTCTCATTAAATGATCGACATAATAAATAATCATGTGTGCCTGTGGGCATTTTCAACGCGGAAAGGATATAATGGATAAGGTTAGATTGGTCAAATAGGTCGAATGGGGGACATTTGCTACATTCACTCAGCCAATCAATGATGATCTGAGCCACTTTAAACTTAACCAAATATTTTTTAAATCCTTAACTTATAAAGCTGTTTACTGCCAAATTAATATATACTTTTAACTTCCAATACTCAAGACAGAAAAACTTTTTTATTGTCATTTCATCTTACAATTTACATCTGGTAAGTCACTACGTTTTATTCCACTAAATTTAGAAATTATTATCATATCCTCTTTAGGATAAATGAATGCTTAAAAAATATTTTTTTCATGCTTTCATGTTAAAAAATAGTTTCATTGATGCACTGAAAAGCATCATGCATTTACAAGATTTTTACCTTGAAGTTTTGGTAAATGGGAATCCTTTACCGGAATACAATCTTCCGGTTGATGAATCTGATGTAAGTTACAATACAGTTAACGTATTTTTTTTTTTATTATACATATTTCTTTTTTAACGAGAAATTTAATTAATTCTTTTTACATAACAAAAAAAAAAAATTTGGCATTATATTTTCATTATTTGCATCATAAGCAGTTAAATAGTACTTGCGTTTCTTATGTTACGGATCCATTAACCCAAACAAAAACATGCAGGTAAAGATACTTATTTTTTTTTTTTAAAAAAAAAAAAAAAAAAAAAAAAAAAATAAGAAAATAGAATTTTTTTGTTAAATAAAAAATATTAATTGATATTTCCCATCTTTTCATTCCTTTCATTCCTTTCATTTTTTTTAAAGCAACTTTACAACGTATATTCCGGTTATAACCCCAGGAGAACGCTATACAATTAGAGCGGAAGCTAAACAAGCAAGTCCATCCAACATTATAATTTCACGTTTATATATAGATGGACAGTTTGATCAGGTACAATTACTTCACCAACATCAAAGCTCAAGAATAAGGTCATACTTCATTAATCATGAAAGAAATAAAGTTTATTTCTTTAAATTCGCCAGTACATCTCAATTTGATAAAAAAGATGATGGTGTTTTCAAAGTCCCATTTCCAGTTAAAAAACATCCAAACAAGCAAAGTCAAATTATATATGGGAAACCTGGTATTGTTACCGTTTGTTTTTTCAAAGGAATAATTGTTGACGAAAGTGCCTTACAGAATAAACCAGAATTCGAAGTTAAACAAGTAAAGATTAAAGAGACGATTGATAATAATAATAAGGATATTGATTTTACGACTAGTTTTGATGCTATGGATGCAAAAATTCAACCTTCAATTGTAACTAAAATTGTTAATTTAAACCCCATAGCTGTGTTACATCTTCACTATCGTTCTGTAGATTGGTTGACTAATAGAGGGTTTTCTTTACCAATTTTATGTACCGACAAAGTAAAAAAGGAAGAGATTGTAAATTCGAATACCAATGAGGATGAAAATAGTTTTGCAAATGATTTTCAGGAAATCATTGTTGAACCAATTGACGAGTTTTCAAAAGAAATGCCAATAAATATGATAATTGAAAATAATAATGCAGAACCAACCAAAATAATTCTAGAGAAATCTCAAGAAATACTGGATATCAATGTTGTTGAACAAATGAATGAAGACAACAATATAAAACATGCAAATAATATCGATAAAACTCTAAAACCAACAAAAGATATCATGGAAATTGAAAACAATATAGAAGAAACAAACAAAATTTTAAAGGAATCTCAGGAAATCATGGAAATTGGAAATAACAGTATAGAAGCAGCAAAAAAAATTGACGGAATTCCAAAGGCAAATCAAGAAATGGAAACAGAAAACGATAATATAGAAATTTCAAAGGAATCTCAGGAAATCATGGAAATTGAAAACAACAATATAGAAGCAGCAAAGAAAATTGACGGAATTCCAAAGGCAAATCAAGAAATGGAAACAGAAAGCAATAATATAGAAATTTCAAAGGAATCTCAGGAAATCATGGAAATAGAAAACAATAATGCAGAAACAGCAAACAAAATTGATGGAATTTCAAAGGAATCTCAAGAAATCATGGAAATTGAAAATAACAATATAGAAAAGAGAATTGACGGAATTCCAAAGGCAAATCAAGAAATCATGAAAATTGAAAACAATAATATAGAGGCAGCAAACAAAATTGATGAAACTCCAAAGAAATCTCAAGAAATCATGGAAATTGAAAATAACAATATAGAAAAGAGAATTGACGGAATTCCAAAGGCAAATCAAGAAATCATGAAAATTGAAAACAATAATATAGAGGCAGCAAACAAAATTGATGAAACTCCAAAGAAATCTCAAGAATTCATGGAAATAGAAAACAACAATATAGAAATAGCAAAAAAAACTGACGAAATTTCAAGGGCATCTCAAGAATTCATGGAAGTTGAAAACAACTATATAGAAGAAGAACAAGCATATAAAATCGAAGAAACTCTAAAATTATCAAAAGAAATGAAAATTAATGAAATTCCAAATTTATCGAAAGAAATAATGAAATTTGAAAACAGCAGCATCAATGTAGAAATGTCGAAAATTCTCGATGAAACTCCAATGTCAAAAGAAGTCAGAGAAATTGAAAATACAAATTTAGGAAAAACAAAAAATCTCGACAAAACTCCATTCCCAAAAGAAAACATGGAAATTGAAAACATTAATTTAGAAAGAACAAAACAAATCGACAAAATTGCTAATGAAATTGCTGAAAAAGCTGAAAAAGCAAGTAGATTTAACGAAATTACGGAATTTGAAATAGAGAAAATGGATAATATTTCGACAGGAGATGAAAACAACATTTTGCAACAGAAAAACTACTTGAAAAGAAATCTTGATGAAATGAATATAAATGAATTTGATGAAAAAGAATGTAATAATAATATATCAAAGAAGCTTTATCTTGATCGATAATCCTTTTATATACGAAAAATATGAATAAATCTTATGTTGGGTATATTAGTAAATAAACGTTTATATAATTTATGGAAGAAATTATCTTTAATTATTTTACATATAAAAATACTTATACAATTTTCTTAGTACTTTTTATTTTCGTATCAATTATTTATAAATTTTTTTTATTTTCGAAATATTATTTTCCAATAAATTTTAAATTATTGAAAATTTTATGACATGTTTTGAAATAGATTACTATTTCTATTGTTGAGTTTGTTGAAAATATCTTAATAAAATTATAATTATTATAAAATATATATTTCAAAATTGAGAACAGAATCTGTCACAAATAGCTAATATATATATATAGACATTTAAGAAAAAAAAATTTTCAAAATATGTAATTGATTAATTAATAAATTTCTGATGCTTTAATTTATCAAACTTTAAATAAGGTTCATTATACTTATATTTGCAATCTTTAATAAAAGTTAATACTTTATTATGCATATTTTTAATAAAAATTCTTACTTTTCTTTATAATTTAAGAATAAATAATAAATATACTTTGGTTAAATTTTGTATTAATACTAAAATTAGCAATATATTATTATATGTATTTATTTGATTTATAATAAAAAATTGTAAATAAATGAATAATTTTATATTATAGTTATTTAATAATAAATTGTTTAAACAAAAAAAAGTATTTATAATAAGAATTGTTATATTTTTTAATTAGTAAAGTTCTTTTATAAAAATTTTTTAATCAAAAATTTGCTTTATTTTATGATAATATAATCAATATCTTATTTAATATTAAATAAATTTTTAATTTAAACCCAAAATAAATTTTTAAACTGAAGTTTTTTTTACTTTTATAAAATTTTAAACTAATATTTCTTTTCAAAAATATCAATAATTATTGATTTGTTATATTAATTTTTTTTTGCAAAATAAGAATTAATAACAAAAGTGAAGAAGAAAATAAAAACAAGACAGAATAGAAGTCTATATAATTGCTAAAGCAAGTAAATATAAAAGAATGATGATGAAGTTTGATAGAAAAGAAAAAAATAAAGATGATATGGAATATGAAAATAATAAAGAAGAGAATTTAGATGAAAATAATCAATTTTTTTTTAATTTCAAAAAATAATTTATTTTTAAAACTATGAAATAAATAAATATGAAAATATAATTAAAAAAAATTGTAATCTAATATTTTTATTTAAATTTTTTATAAAAATATATAAATTATTAATATATTTTTATATATACTGTAGATACCTATTACATTTTCATCAAATATTAAAAACTATATAAATAAGCATATTGTATTAAAATTAAAATTAGAATTATCTTCATATATATTAGTCTAAATTACTTTATTACAACAAGTAAATTTCTTATATCTTACAAGTAAATAGAATTTTTTCACTTAAATTTTGAACTTAGTGGCTTAGAAAATTTAAAGAATTTATTTATTCTTAATGATAAATTCAAACATAAGTTTAATAATGGTTTATAATCAAATTTTAGATAAGAGCTATATAGAAAGGAAAGTATTATATTTTCAAAATTGATTTCTTTATTTATTATAAATGAGTAATTTATAATACAACTTAAGTAAAAAGTTATTCTATTTATACTAAATTAATTTTTTATAACTAACGAAAGTTACTTATCAACAGAAATCACTTGATGATTTCTTTTAAATTCAAAAATGGCAGGTAAATCGTCAGGTTGTGAAATCTATTTTACTGGTGACAACTTCAAATCAAAATTCTTAAAACCTCAATTATCTCACAATAGAACATTGTTATACTCATTAATAACCATTTGTTACATTTGTAATAGATAAACTCACTACGTGTGTGGTTTAGGTATTCAGATTACCATATGTGTGGTTTGCTATTAAAATCACACTCATATGAGTAAGCTTCTAGGCTACTTGTTTGCAGGATTTATTTTTCAACTACCACCTTTATTTATCAAAATGATTCTTCTAAAAGATTTTTGGCGACAGAATAATTCCAAACGACAAATTACAATGCATTAAAATCAAGCAATTTTCAGGCGTTGGTTTAATGGTATCGAGATTACATAATAATTTTGAAATTTTAGAATACTATATATCGACAATTCATATATTTAAAGATACAAAAACCTTTTCTGAAATATCTTTATCCTTTTTTCTGCATCCAAGATAAATTCATACTGTAAATATATTAAGTGAATTGATTAGATATATAATATGTTCATTATAAATATGCTACTAATTATTCCTTTACTTTTGTTGAATTGTTTTTAATTATATTTTGTTGTTTTCATATACATTATATGATTTATCAGATGAACAAGAGACTTAGGAGAATTTTGAGCTATTTTTCATATTGCTTACAATAAAAACATTTTCAAATTTCTTGTAGATTATTCAATATTGTCAATTAAACTATAACTGAAAAGACCAGATCATATAGTTAAAACAGATATTGCAATCATTAATACTAATACTCGAATATCAGATTGAGGAATGCTGAATATAACTGAAGTACTTTTCTTAGAAAGAATCCCTTCTTACTCCTATGAATTACTAGAATTGTAATATCTGGTATTGTATTTTCAGTACATTAACTCTACATAAGTGCAAGAGACATTGGTAATGCATTAATAATATTCTCTAATTACAAATCTAATGTTAGCACCTTTATATATTATCAAGCGAATGTAGATTATCAGCTTCAGTACAAATTATATTCTCATCAATTTCTATTATGTGACTTATCAAATTAATTTTGACATTTTATATGAACAATACTTTTTCTAAAAGATCTTTATATTATATAATGCAATATATTTCACGTCATTTTTAAACACTATCCAGCTCTATCCCTCAGCTTAGTTATAGTAAAATATTCTGAAGCATGCTTAAAATAATTACATTCAACACTAAACTTACCACTTTCTTTGTTTATGACGATATTCTAGAATTTTCAGATTTTTAAGTATCAATTTTCAAAAGAGATTAAAAAAGAATTCAAAATGGAAATTCTTGTCACATTTGACTAAATACTAATATAATAAGAGAGAAATTAATAATATACCTTATAGCATGAAGCCACCTGGAATCAGAAATACACTTTGAAGACTTAACAACAAGAATGTAATTGAAATATTATCGAAAGTATGTCTAGAAATCTGTTGAAGAAATATATGCATCTTTTTGAAACAGAAATTAGCCTAAATGTAATTTAGGGAACTTTTCAATGGTAATGAATGATGGATAATGATAATTTTCCTAATTACCTTCTTTGAGCAATGTGTTATTATTATTTACAAATATATCTTCTTCCTCCTTCTTTTTTTTAATCTATACATTAAACTATATCATATTCATTTTAATACAAGAACACAGCCTCTCACAATTTGTTAAAGTATTGCTTCACCTGGTAGTACAGCCTGTATCTCAATGTTATAAAAATTTGGCTTTTGTGAGAAACTGTCACTATTCCTTTTGGTTTGAATTTTTTTATTCACAATCGATTTAGAAGCCGTATGTTTGTTAATGTAAGTCCTCCAACAGAAATAGAATCAAAATTAGTTGAATTATATAGATTTGGCAAAAGTAATGAAATGAATTTTCAGTAGAATACATTTATAAAGCCAATAACTTAGCTAATATGATACTGAAAATTTAAGCATCCTAATTCATAAGCATAAGAATACAGAAGAAAATCCACAAAGTAAATTAAGACATAATTTGTTTAGATTCCATATGCAAATTTCTAATCTTTTTAATTTCTTCATATCATTTTTATTATAGGTATTGCATATGAAAGGTAAAAGTAAAAAATTTCATATCTATTACAATAAGTCATGCATATTTATTCTGATCAAATTGTCAAACATTTGAAAAAATTAAAAATAATATGGACTTTGAACTTTATAAGAAAAATCATCTTACATTGTGAGAGAGATAAAACAATACTTATTTTTAACTATCCAAATGAAATTGATAGGTTTATTGATTGGAAAACATTAAATAGTTTGAAGGAGTTTAGCTCATGTATTATAAATTTGGAAGACAAAATTAAAGATAAAAATTTGAAATTTTAAGAGAAGAAAGAAAATAAATTCAAGAAGAATTAAATCAATTAATAACACAAGTTGTTAATCATATTGAAGATATGATGCTGTCCCATTTTTAAAATCAATGTTGATCATATCGAAAGATCAATTAGATTTATATAATCTACATAAGTTAGTTTTACAACAATATTATCAATATATATATGAAACTTGTGAGGTAGTAGAGGATATTACAAAAAAATTGTTAATGTGCAAAAAAAATTATTCTTTTTTAAAGAATAATGAAAGAAAAAGTAGGAATTTATTTTCTTCTTTCAAGAAAAAGTTAAAGGAAATATTATTGAATGCAGCTAGTAAATTTGGATATTTAGAAAAAAAGAATTTAAATAAAAGAGGGTAAATCAAAAAAAATATTTGATATATGTATAATAAGTTATACAAGAAGTTCAGTATATTCAAGCGGAACAATCCAAATTTTAACAAAAATTTTATTAAAGAATATCTCCAGTTGTAGTAAAAAAAATAGAATCACGCAATGAAATTTAAATAAAATTGATTCTATTTTTTCGAATTATAATATATCGAGTTTTAAAATAATTAAAGGTATATATTAAAACTTAATTCAATATTAAAATTTATTTGATAAAAATTAATTCTAATATATTAAATTTATTTTATATAGGACATTATCATTACATCGACAATGATAATAAAACTTTATTTAGGTTGTTTGAAATTCCAAAAGAGAAGATGGATTTGGTTAATAATGCGGATAGTGCAGTTCAATCTTATTGGACTAATATACATAATGATCAAATTCATGCTCCTCCAAAATTTAAAGGGTTTAATTATAAACCTTCAGGTATATTATCAAAAAAAGTATTAATGTTAATTTTATGATATATATTTAAGCATTTAATTAATTTACAATTTTATTATTTAATTAGCAATAGCATCATCAGCAATAATACTATCATTATCATTATCAGTAGCAGCAGTAACGCCAATATCAGCAGTAGCAAAATCAATATCGTTATCATCATTATTATCATCAGCTGCAGTACTAATATTAGCAGTAGCGCTATCATCATCATCAGTAGTAGCACTAATACCAGTAGCACTATTATCATCGTCAGTAGCAGTGTAATCATCAGAAACTACACAACCATTTACATAACATTTCAGCATTTACAAAAACAATAATAAGTTGATGTATTAATCCTTGGATTATATCTATAAAATAAGAATAGCTATATCGAGAATCATTTATAGTAAGTAATTAACCTTTATTATTGTTTATAATTACTTTAAATACTTTTGTTTTTAATATATATATTTCAATAATTGATAGTTGCGTCGACAATAGTGATACCTGACTAAACTCTTTTTTGAAAAATTGTAATTTCGTCAAAAGTTTCGTTTCTTTAATATTTTTATATG